GCTCAGACAGTCAGAGATGGAGCTGACCCCTTATTCTCCATCCTAAAATGAAAGATTCCATTTGGTACAAAAGAAAATGGGGGAATGAAAGACCCCCACTCCATTATGAGGACATGGGGCATTGGGCCAATGAAATGCCCCCCCCCTCCCCGTCCCAATAACTTAGCCTAAGAAACACCATTCTGAAAGGCAAGAACCAGAAAAACAGGAGTTCACAGCTGTGGCCAGCCACCCGGCCTTGAGAGAGATAACTGTGGTCGGCCACCGGCCTTGGGAGAAAAACCGTTGAGTCAAATCAGGATATTTATAATTGGCCCCCTGGCCTTGAGGAATAAGCAGCTGGGCTGGAAAAACGCCCACTGTACCCTAGGCAAGGCCAAGTCAGCCACACACATCAAATTTCCGAGAATTAAAAATACGTCCCCAAGTTCACCCTGGCCTTCTTTAAAACAACCAATAGGAACCCTGTAACTATGCTTCTCGCTTCTGTAACAGCGCCTCTGCCCCTGGGATCCTATAAAAAGTCCCCCTTGCCCTAGGAAGGCACGCAAGTCTTCCAAGAGACTTCGCCCCAGGTACCTGTGTATCTGAATAAACCCTCTTGCTGTTTGCATCTGATCTGTGGTTTCGGCATGTTCCTTGGGTTTGGGGTCTCTCCTGAAGGAAGATCTCCCCTGGGGGTCTTTCAACATCTACAGAGACAGACTATCAGAACTTGAAGTAGATGATCTGGACAAAATAAGCAAACAACATGAACAAAATTTAAGAACACAGAAAAGGAACATACAGGAAATATAGGATACCATGAAAAGAAGAGAACTTTGAGTTATCAGCATATATAAGGGAGAATCCCAAGTCAATGGCATAAACAAGATCTTCAACAAGATCACAAAAGAAAACTTCCCCAAACTAAACAAAGACATAAACACACAGTTATAAGCAGCAGCACACAGAACTTTCTCCAACAAGGCCATACTTCCTAATACTTGCCAAATATTTCTACCAACTAAGGACCAAGTATCCATACATATAAGCTTGTAGGGTGTATATTATATAATATGTGCATATATGTATGTATATGTGTGTGGTGTGTATGTATTATATATAATATGTATATTGTAGACAATATGCATGTTTTTGTATAATCTTCTCTAACTACTGCAAACTTTTAGATAGTATATTGAAATTACTATTTTTTGTTATTTTTTATTTATTTTACATACCAACCAGTTTCCCCTCCCTCCTCTCCTCCTGATCCTTTCCTCCACCTCCTTTCTACCCACTCCCATCCACTCCTCAGAAAGTGTAGCTGAAAGTTGTCTGTGTCCTGCCTGGCCTGCAATCAGAACAAATCTCACTCACCTGCTGGTCCTGCTGTCGCTTGGACCCAAATAAACACACAGAGGCTTATATAAATTAAAACTGCTCAGCCATTAGCTCAGGCTTACCACTGACTATCTCTTACAATTAAACTCAGCCGCTTTTTGTTAATTTATATGTCGCCACATGTTCCATGGCTTTACCTGTGTGCCATTACATAGTGCTCCCTGGACAATGGGCTGGCATCTCCTGACTCAGCCTTCTTCTTCCCAGAATTCTCCTTGTCTGTTTATCCCACCTATACTTCCTGCCTGGCTACTGGCCAATCAGCATTTTATTAAACCAGTATACAAATGCATTATCCCAGAGCAAGAAAGGGCAAGGCCTCCTATGGCAGTCAACAACCTATGGAAACCACTATTTTAAAGTTACTTTTGTTGTAGTTATATTAATATAAAGTATTTTTATGACTGCGTATTTTGCTGTTTTGTTTTTGTATTTTACAAGGTTTTTAATGTGGATTGAACACTTACAATTCCATTTTTCCCTTCTCTCATCATATCTATTATATTTCCTTTTTGCTTTTTTAGTGCTTGCCACAGAGTTTCAAATTTATTTGTTGTGAATCCAAGTCCAATATCAAATAAAAGTCTATATTTTCACAGTTTTTGCAAGTATCTTACAGCATAGAGGTCTCAATATTTCCCTATCTTTTATCATCTTAGTATCTTCCATTTTACTTCTTCATAAGGTATAGACACTGAACACATTAACATGATTATTTTGAACAAACTGCAAGATCACTTAAGATTATGAAATAAAGGTGTCATTTTAACTTGATTTTAAGTGACTAATTTTTGGTGACTTCTAAAAATATTTCTTATCTTCAACTTGTTTATCTATAATTTATCTATATATAACCCACATCTGTTTGCATGTTTTCTGCTTTACTTACCTATTATAGTTCTTAAAGCATTTTCTATTTTATTTACTTATTATTATTGTTTAGAGATGTGTGTGTGTGTGTGTGTGTGTGTGTGCGTGTGTGTGTGTGTGTGCACATACACATGCACATATGCTTGGGCTTGTGTGCCACAGTGTGCCTATGGAGGTTAGATGACAGTTTGTGGGAGTTGGTTCTCTCCTTCTAATATGTTGGTCACACGAATTGTACTCAAGTGCACAGCTTTGTGATATAACTGCCATACCCTCTGAGTCACTTTTCAATGATCCCTCTGAGCTGTCACAGAACCCCAACAAATTCTAACTAATACTGCCATAGAGATCTAAAAATTGCAAGACTAGCATTTTGTTTTCCAAAAGAGGCAAATATTAAGTCAGTGCTTATAGGTAAAATGAGTTAAAGCAAATTGCTATTGAGTGAGTATCTGCATTCTTCTGAATTAGAATGCTGAAATCCTAACTCCAAATAATGAGAGAGAGAGAGTCTCACCTGACCACTTCTTGTCACCAAAGAAACTTCTAGTACTGGGACTGGGTTACATTCAATTGAGTTGTTGGCCAAAGTGGTACCATGGAAATCCCCAAATCACCAAGGATGTTGCCAAGACAATAGATTTCTCTCTACAAATTGACACCAGTGGCCTCACTGCTGAAGACAACATCAGTATAACTCATTGTACCAACTGCTGTTGAGTTGGTGACTCATAAAACCTTCATCCTTATGTTCTACTATCTTTGGTATGGGAAAGTAATCTGTGGGATAATAAAAGAAAAATGTAAACACCAAACCAGCCACAAACCCTATATCTACAGTGGTATACTGCCTGCAAATTATGCTAGGGGAGTGGTGGCACAGAACTTGTGGGAATAACCAACCAATGTTGTTTAACTTAAGGCCCCCTCTATGAAATGGAATCCATACTTGGCACTGCTTGGGTGACCAAGAACCAGAGATTAGATAGCCAAGAGACATAGGCAAAACCAAATATTACTGGTCTAAAAAAAAGTAACAATAAAATGACCCCTATTCTCCTATACTCATAGATTGGTGCCTTATTCAGCCATCACCAAAGAGGCTTCTGCAGTACATGGGACTAAATACAGAGATCCACAGCAGACATTATGCAGAGAGAGAGAGACCTTGGAACACACAATTTTAAATAAGATGTCTCCATAAAATTCCTCCCCTAGCACTCTGGAAACTCTGTGGAAGAGGAGGTGGAAGAGGAGGTAGAAAGAGTCTAAGGGCCAGATGGGATGGAGGACACCAGGAGAACAAGACTCTCTACATCAACTGGGCAAAGCTCATATATACTCACAGAGACTGAAGCAGCATATACAGTGCCTACACAAGTATGCACCAATTCCTCTGCATATGTATTATAACTTTCAGTTTAGTACTTTTATGGAACGCCTGAATTTGTGAATGAGAGGGTCTCTGAATCTTGTGCAATCTCTTAGGGCTCTACTCCTCCTGTTAGTTTGCCCTCTCCAACCTCAATGTGATGCTTTTTGTTTTATCTTATATTTAATTTTGTTTAAAAAAACACTATTGAGTATTGGTGGAAGTATTAAGACAACTCCATGTAGTTAAAAGGGAGATTTATTAGGGTGTTTTACTTACA